TGGGTAATAGCAGATATAGCAGATAATAGCAGACATAGCAGAAATAGCAGATATAGCAGATATAGCAGATAATAGCAGACAAGGTGAATTTAGAAATTGCATAATACAGTTGTCTAATTTTATTAGCGCTTATATTAAAAATGATTAACCAGTAATGAAACATCAATATATAATAACAAGAGTGAATCATAATATATCTATTACTATATTAGTAATACTACAGTTCGACCTCGTTTATCCGGGCACCAGTTAACCGGAAACCTTTATTAACTGGCCGCGATCTCGCAGTGCATGTTAATTCTCTGTTTTTTCATTCATTTCCACCTAAAAATCTCGCTCAAAACTCGCACGATGTACCAATAATTTTCGCGCGATGTACACATTGATTATCGTAAGAGCGCACGGCTATCACATGCACAAAATATTTCTGAACTTTTTTTGCGACAGTATGCTTTTTTCAAGACACGTGTATGATTTATAGAATTTATTCACTTATAACAGTTATTTCATCAATATTTATTGAGTTGAAATCTACGCTCTTGTGGTTGTAAACGTTACAATTCCGTTACATTTTCCTACAAACTTTAGTTTCACCATACACCACTAATAGTAGCAGTACCAATGCCAGTGAATAGGTATCTAGCGATCTTTCTGACAAACGATCTCAGCACAAAAGAAACAAACATAAACCGAAGTGGTAAAGTTTCTGTTTTATTTCATTTTATTTCCATTTCATATAAACCATAAAACTCGACAGTTTGTTACAAATAATCATAGCAACGAGTAAATCATTATCACACGCATAAACCCTACTGAACTGCATAGAAATGCTGTGTTTGAGCATAAATCGCGTATCCGGCCAAATCGCATATCCGGATGGGTGCCGGTTTTGACGTGGCCGGATAAACGAGGTCGGACTGTATTATTATTTACTCCTGATAATATCAGGAGCGTATAATGACAATTTGTCATTATTCACTCCTGATAATATGTAAACAGCTGTAACTTGGTTTAGCAGATTTATGAATAAGTAATTAACATTATACCAAACTGCACTGTCAGCCAAGGTCAAACAGAAGTCAGGGAGACATAGACCCTACGGGCGCCACTGGCACTGCCGGCACAGGCCTGCGGCAACTGTACGCGCAGTACTACTACTACTACTACTACTACTACTACTAGTAGTAGTAGTAGTACTAGTACTAGCTAAGTAGTAGTACTACTACTAGCTCTGGAAGTACCACTGCCACTAGCTCCAAGAAACGGTCTTGTTAATCACGTTGTATTACACTTTGTATAGACAATCGGTCGTGCAGCCTCGGCTACCACTGCCACTAGCACTGGCACTGCCCTGCGCAAGTCATTCAGAAACTTAGTTAACTTTGGTGTGGTGGCGGTGCATTGAACCTTGAAGTCGATACTTACATTGCTGGTAGGGCCTACTCACCCGGGGAAATATAAGAGCTAATACAAGGCTGGTGCTTAAACCGGCAGCACTCCCTCCCCCGGGAAAGCATAAGACATTATTAGGCCGGCACTGGCACTGCTAGTACTCCCCCGGGAAAGCATAAAAGTTGATAGTGAGGCTGCCGTCTCGTCGGGCGGTACGCTGGGTACACTCCCGTGGCGGCTGTGTCGTGTGATTTACTGGCTTGCTGATGTTTTAACGGGTGACACTCTCACGAGTGCAGACAGGAGCGTAAACGTCATCTACCCGTAATGATCGAATACGGCAATCATTGCCTGACAGCTCAAGTAAACGTGATCTTACTCTCTATCTCTCTCTCTTCCTCTCTTTCTGTCTCTCCCTCTCGCTCTCTCTCTCTCTCTCTCTCTCTCTCTTCCTCTCTTTCTGTCTCTCTACTCTCTCTGCTCTCTCTCTCTCTCTCTCTCTCTCTCTCTACTCTCTCTTCTCTCTCTTCTCTCTCTCTCTCTCTCTCTCTCTCTCTATATATATATATAATAATATATACTATAATCAAGGTATGGATGTAATGCTATTCCAATATGAATTTGTGCGTATATGTACAACAACAGTATTAGTTGTTCGCGGCAGCATTAGTAGACTGACGCCATGCGTGCATCGTTGTACGGTTACAGAAGAATGGCAAGAGATCAGCTGAAGACGGGGAAGCCTCAGCTCAGACAGGGTCTGTACAAGAAACATGTGCCACTGAGGGGCCAACAGGAGGAGGAAGAATTGGACCCGACTGAAGTGAAACTACAGATGGAAGTAAAACATGTTAGACATTGCCAATTATACACACCTTATTGGCCGCTACATTATGATTGTCGCCATGTTTAAAGTGACATTATAACATCCTATTGCCGGCTACATTATATTGTGCATGTTTTAGTGACATTATACACGCCTTCTATTGCGCGCTACATTTATATTGTGCATGTTTAGTGACATTATACACACCTATTGGCCGGCTACATTATATTATGTCATGTTGAGTGACCATTATACACATCTATTTGGCCCGGCTAACATTATATTGTGCATGTTTAGTGACATTAACAGCATCTCTTGCCGGCTACATATATATTGTGCATGTTTAGTGACATTATACACATCTATTGGCCGGATTTACATTATATTGTGCATGTTAGTGAGCATATACATGCTATTGGCCAAGCTAGTCATTATATTGTGGCATGTTTAGTGACATTAATACACATCTATTGCCGGATACATTTATAATTGTGCATGTTAGTGACATTATACACATCTATTGCCGCTACATTCATATTGTGGCATGTTTAGTGACATTATACACACCTATGCCGGCTTAACCGATTATATTGTGCATGTTTAGTGACATTATATCACATCTATTGGCCGGAATACATTATATGTGTGGCTGTTTAGTGAAACATTATACCACCACCTATTGCGGCTACATTATATTGTGCATGTTTAGTGACATTATACACATCTATTGCCGGCTACATTATATTGTGCATGTTTAGTGACATTATACACATCTATTGCCAGCTACATTATATTGTGCATGTTTAGTGACATTATACACATCTATTGGCGGTACATTATATTGTGGCCATGTTTTAGTGACATTTACACATCTATTGCCGGATACACATCTATTGCCGGCTACATTATATTGTGCATGTTTAGTGACATTATACAACGGAATAATTGCATCAAAACTTAATATTAGAGAGGTATATCTCATTATCTTTGCCTTTATTTTAATACCATGTAATAATTTATCGTCAGGTATCGTGTTAGCATTAAGTATTGTGGATCAATCAACGGTCCAGTATATCAATCACTGAATTGATAGATAGCCTGATTGATTGATTGATTAATTAATTAATTAAGCAACAGTTTATTATACTCGTTCATATATAGTATCATCGATCTATCAAATGATATATTGATTNTATGTATATATATATATAAATATATGATGTTATTACAGGAATTAATGTAAATAAGTACTGTGATTAAGGGATATTAATCGTATATAAAATTTATATGCAGAGACCTATGATGTTTACCTTCTCTTACCTAGCTTTACCTCTCTACCTCCACTACACTACACACCCTCGCTTACCTATATGCTTACCTCTCTATCTCATTTATCTTCCCACCTCTCACCCTGACTTACCTTCCTAACCTCACTTACCTTCCCCTGCCTCTCTGCCTACGCTACACCTCCCACTCTCACTTACGCTCTCCTTCCAGTTCCTCACTTACCTTCCCCTGCCTCTCTGCCTACGCTACACCTCCCACTCTCACTTACGCTCTCCTTCCTCACTTACCTTCCCCTGACTCTCTGCTTACGCTACACCTCCCACCCTGACTTATGCTCTCCTTCCTTTCTCTGCCTACAGGGACCTAAGATGTTCGCTCGCAGTAAGTCGCTGGACAGCGACGTTCAGCTAGACGCTCGTAAGCAGGCGTCGCTAATGGAGAGCGAGGTCGGCATCCTGCGAGAGAAGCTAGCTGACCTGGAGGCAACAAGCGATCGGCTAGGCGACGACAATCTACGGCTGCGGATAGCCGCCGGCCGCAAGGTGCCCGTGATACACACCGACGATCAGGCGCTGGAAAACATCGAGCTAAAGGTAGCGACGTCACACTGTGTGCGGCGGGAGGAGAGAGGGGCAGGGGGAGGGAGCAGTGGGGAGGGAGGGGCAGGGGAGGGGCGGAGAGGAAGGTGCCCGTGATACACACTGACGACCAGGCGCTGGAAAACATCGAGCTAAAGGTAGCGATGTCACGATGGGCTTGTTTTTTGTGCGGCAGAGGGAGTGGTGGGTGAGTGGG